GTTTAGCACTACTAACTCAGTCTCCTTACTGTCTTGGTGTTTTCTCCATTCTATGTGTGTAAGGCGAGGTGAAGCCATACCAACCTCCCCGGTACAGTTCAGTTGGGCCTGGTGTGATATGGGGTGTATGTACATTACCTATACACGTACAGATCTGTCTTAACGTCTCGTTAAACCAAAGCAATTCCACCAACAACCATCACGTGGATGGTGACGAAGCCTCAGTTTAGGAGAATGAGGCCAAGATAAATGACGCCCTGCCAGTCTGTCCTTGGATCCCTACGTCGAAGCCTCGCAATACAACAGAACCGGCTCTTGCATACGAGAAACCTTAATGAACTCTCTAGACTCTGGGTCAGGCACGTATTCGTCCAAGTTCTGCGTCTGCACCGGCGCCGAAGAAAAGAACATCAACGAGCTGCAAGCTGCCATAACAGTAGGTACACAACGACAGAACTGAAAGACAAGAACAGGAGGGACGATATGAGCACTACCCGGAGCACGACCAGTGGCCATAATTTCAATACAATAAGCAGGCTGCAGGTAAAGTATCCAACTGTACGTGTAGGCGAGATGTATGCAGGCAGGCAAGGCCAAATCGAGCCCATCTCCGTCTTCCCGCTCGCCTCCCATTGGTATACGAACCCTTGCCACATCCACCGGGCGCACATAAGCAATGCTGCGCCCAGGGTAAGGGGAGTTCCCGCGACGTCTCAGCCAATCGTTAAGACGGAGTTCCAAAGTCTGGGTGTGCCCGAGAGTCGCCATATTTCCGTCCGTCCCTCGGAGAGCCTCCGGTACGTGGGTACATCATACATGCTAGTGGTACTTATCGTGAGCATACCTACCTCTACTTAACCTACAGGTAGGTAAGGTAGATAGCTACCTACGTACATACACTCCAGCAGTTTCTTAATTGCTTGAACTCAGTAAACCTCTAGAATTGTATACTTTTCATCTCTCAGGGAGGCTCTCATGGTCCTTGGAACTGGCAACTCTATCGTGATCTCAATTCCTCGCAAAACAAACTGTATCTTCTCCCTGAATGTTCATGGATAGAGATGGTCAGCATAGACAGGCGCAGTGAAGATGGAGATCCCGGAACTGGAATCACAAGCGCCGACAGGGCGAAGACAGTTGGCCTGGCGATCCTAGCCCTTGTCCTGATCGTACTGATCTCCAATGTAATGTGTGTGTCAAGGTCCAGTCAGAAACTCTCAGTGTCTTCGCGAGGCAAGCTAACCAGGAGAGGAGCTAAACAGCGTGAGGTACTGGATCAAGCCTGAGCAGCCGCCGCTGAGCGAATCTAGTACACCGCGGCACGGCGAATATAGGTTCGCCGAGCAGTCCCAAGATGCTGGAATCCGTTCTCGCCGCTTGACAACAAAGCGGAAGTTATCCAGACTCAGCTTCGACGAGATCGACCTTGTGGCCCCCGAGATGTTATACAGCCAAATCGTTATCCATGAGGACATCATTGATTTCTCTCACACCGTTCCTCGACCGCCGAGTCCCACCGTGCTGGCAATCAATCGGAAAACGCAAGATTACGACGCGTCCCTTGAATTGGCGTCACTCCACACGACCTCGCTCACGAGCAGAGGCAGCGAAAGTAACGAACCCGGCTTGACAGCCTCCGCCATCATCCTTCCACGATCTTCTTCGCCTCTGCCAATTGCGAGTGATCCCGAGTGCAGCATCTGTCTAGAGGGCTACAGGCAAGAGGACCTCGTCCGCCAGACCCTGTGCCGTCACCTCTTCCACAAAAGCTGCCTGGAGTGGTGGCTCATGAAACACGGCAGCCGTTGTCCGCTCTGCCAGAGAGAGCTCAAGCAGAAGATAAACGTCCCACTCGCGATCGGTGGTGTGGACTCCAGTCCTACTGTCCCAGACCACTAGTAACGACGCCCAAACATCAGTCTGCTGATATTCTGGGCACCGGCTTCAACGCGAAGAAATTGGAATAGTACAGCATGGGGTGTCAGTTCAGGTTCTCTCTCATCCTAGACATGCCACCCCCTAATCGCTTTGCACGGCAGGGAACGGCTTTTTAGGTCGCCTTCCTCATCCAACACTTCGTTCAGGAGATTACTGACCCTTGCTGACCCGCGTTGCAAGTTCCAAGTCGTGTGACCCAGTACAGCAGCGACCGACAAAGCAGCGCAACATGCGCAGAACCTTTCCGCCAATTTCCTTCAAAATATGTACTTATCACTTGCAAACTGGAATCCCCCAAAACATAACCTACCTCTTAACCAAAGTACACATTTCTCAAGACGAGAACCTTCTCATCCAAATCATTTCTTCCTGCCAGACCAGCCAACCATAATTTTTCAAGTCTACCCAGGAAGGGCCACGCTGTCTGTCATGGTTCCTCACCTTATTCTTCGTCGCTCAACTGCATCGTATCGCGAAAGTCGAATTCCGTTGACAGCCCCTCTGCTTGGACAAACATTCGGTCGGCCTGGTTCTCAGGACCAGCAGGGGTGGTGGCAAGGCTCTGGAAATCGATGTCCAGCCACGTGGGTGTTCGCGTAACCGACGGAGGTTGTTGTTGCTTGCGGGATGCGTCTTCATGAGGGTTTATGGTAGCCGGAGAATCGACGCGGGAGGCATGGTGCCGGACAACGGATGCCTCTATCTCGTCGATGTCGAAATAGATGGTGTGAGAGAGTTTACTGATTACGGTCTTGCACCTGTTAGCCAGTACGGTGTATGTGGGATGTGTGAGGGATGACTAGCAGACCTTCAGGACTTCCACACAATTGGTTGAACAGTCGTCTTCACACTCGAAGGCTGCGATGAGTCTGGTTCCCACAGCGGCTCGCTGCCAAGCTTGACTGGGTCGCTCGGTGCCACGGTGTGCGGCAATGAGAAATATCAAGCACATAACAGACAAGAAAATAGTATAAATTGATGGCCAGAGCCCTGTCAGTAAGAGGCCTTCCTTTATCATGTCATGAGAGCGGGCGATGGTGGATGAGGCGATTTTGATGCATGCGAGGGCATGATAAGATTGTATCACAGATATCGACCCTCCCTCCGCCAGGATTCGCAGGTAGTGCAAGAGGGGCCGGAATAATATGATGTGGCAGAAATTGTAAGTCATTTCGAGGTCGTGCATATAACTAGGAATACGAGACTTAGTCAAATATTCTCACCGACTCCTTGAAATCGTATATGCACTTACTATTTGTGATCTTTGCCCTGTCCAAGACGCCCCAGAAGTGAAGAGGCCTCCACTCGCCAGCTTTGAAATTCTCTCTTGGCTTCTTCAAAGAGGCCAATATCGACGGGCTCAGTATTGCTGCCAAGTGAACCCGCAGAATTATAGGTTCGTTTAGATACTGGTATGGCCAAAAGACAGACTTGCCTCAATGTTGCTGCCGTCCGCAAGTCACCCTCGGCTTCAGCCTCCTCCGCCAAGTGTGGAATGTGGGACAAAGATATTGCATCTCTCTGGAGGAATGGAGGCAAATCAAGGATAAGGCTCGCGTATAGATCGAGCCTCATAATCGTGGCGAGGAGTCCTGTCCTGATTTTGCGGTCCTCTGCCGGGATGGTTGAGGAACTTCTTACAGAATGCAGGCCAAGTCGAAGAGCCGATGAACAGGCTGTTCCGATTAGGGGGTGTGCTGAAACGATCCTCGAGGTGGAAATGAGGAATATGATGGCGCAAAGAGTGGCTTGGAGGGAAGTTTGGTCATTCACCTGCATCAATTTCAACAAGGATAGGCCGACATGGTAGTGGTTCATGCCGCGTTGCAGAATATTGCGACACCCTTCCTCTTGATGTTTGGGCGAGTCAAACAGACAACCCAAGGCGAGCGTCAAGTGGAGAAGCGACAGAGACTGGTCCGAGATGGATGAAAGCTGATTCTCAGCGAACATACTGGCAATGTCTCTTACCTGCTGCTCATGCAGAAAGGAGAGCATCGGGTGATTTCTTGCAAAGACAGCGTCGACCAATGCCATAGTAAAGTCGAGGTCATGTGACGGTAGAGGTATTGTCAGGGTCGGGTTGATGTTATCCGGCATCGGGAAGGGGAGGTTGAAGAGGTCAGAGATAACCAGTATAATCTTGTCTGACAATGGCGCTGGGTCCTTCTTGAAGATTTCCAAGGTCCGTAGAATAAAAGATAACTCGGAATGAGCACCGTAGAAGCATACCGCTCCTGAGCCGACTGCCACAAGTCGGTCATAACCCGCCAGCATACTAGTGAGGGTTGGTTGGTTGGAAGCATGGTCAGCGGAGGTTGGCGACGAGGGCGATTGCGACTGTGTGTCAGGCAAGGTGAAATCGAGGATACGCAGGCACTTGTCTAAATCTAGACCCGGGATCTCGATGACCTTTTCTCGCACCACTCTTAACCACGAACGAGCTAGACGGAGGTGATCCTGAAGATTCCGTATCCTTAGCGTCGGAGCCGGCAATGGCCGTCGGAACTGATATGTACAGCCTTATTCGCGGATAAGTCATCAGAGGTGTCCAACAACAAACATACTGGATTCAAGAACCGGGCCAAAGACTCACCAAGATTAAAATGTCGACAGGGACCACAGGGCTCGCCTGCGTCGCACGCCCGCTTGCGCAAGCGGCACTCATCGCAGGCCTGAGGCGAGCGGCGGTGTGGTTTCTTCTTCCATATCGGCCGGCTCTGAGGCGGGCCGGTATGACGACCGAATCCTACCACACTCGGTGCCACGGGCATCATGAGAGCACAGGCAGCATGTACTGCAACATAACATAGATCTTATCTCGTAGGACTGGGTAGAGAACCGTACGTTCCATACCTAACAAAGCGTTGTACGTACAACTCAATCGGTTGAAAGCTGTCTTGATGTAGTCGTCAGGCCTTGAATCATGGGAGCTTCGCTGGGCATTGCTCACGGACAAGCGGCGTTGATTCGCTACCACTGGAGCGGACTGTTTGCATCGTAGTATTAGAGCAGTTTAAGCGGCCGATATCTCCACGATCTAATCAGGATCTGATCTGTAGGCGGGGATAGTTCAGTTGGGAGAACGTCAGACTGAAGTCACACTTCAATCTTGAAATCTGAAGGTCGTGCGTTCGATCCGCACTCACCGCAGGCTAATTTCTTTTGCCCATTTATTCTGCGGATATGGTTGCTATTCCATGACAAAGAGGCGGAAGTGTTGGTTGCAGTAGAAAGTCATTTGTACCTGACAGCTTGGGCCCGTTTGAATGATAGTATTGTCAGATTAGATAAGGGACGATCGATATGGGTCATGTGATGAATGGTTTCCAACTCCAACGGGCAGTACGGGATACATACAAGCACTCAACTCAGGCATTTAAAAGGCATCGTACGGATCGCAGAATTGACATATGTGTTCCGTAAACATGTGATTACCTATCTATTCACCCCGTAGAGCCAACTACAGATCTTCGCAAACGCAAAGCCTCAATCTATTATGCCGTTCCGTCACTCCTCTCCTCTAGTATGAACGCCTGTATGAGAATCCCTCTGTCTATGCATCATGCATCTCGGACTATCTTGATCAAGCCAGCCTCCAACGTATTCTATGCCCGGCTCGACTCGACACAAAGGAGAAACCAACCCCAAAAATCAAGTCATCATCAGCCGCTAAACGCGTGCAAATCCTGTGTCATGTACCACCTGGAAAAAGAGAGAACCGTTTCTCGTTACTCTTCGTCGTCCGTATCCGGCGGGTGAGGAGTGCCCTTGGGACTGTTGAGCCATTCGATGTGGCGCAGTCTTCGTCGCACCTCCTGCTCCTTCAGCTCCTTCTTGGTCTTCTTCCTCTTCTTCCTGGCCTTGAATTTGAGGGGCGAATTATCTTCAGTACCGCTGTTGACGGCGCTGCTCACGGCGCTGCTGGCCGCTGTGCTGTTGACACCGCTTGTGATGACGCTGGTAACACCGCTGTTTGGTTTGCTGTCCTCGAAACGATCTAGGGCAATCGAGGCATTGCCCTTCAAGACCATGCGTCCGTCATTGATGTGCCACTGCTCATTGGCGAGGGCACCGACGAACTCTTCGTTGTGAGAAATCATGACCACACCGCCTTTAAAGTCTCGGATAGCAACCGCAAGACCGCCAAGGGAATCACGATCCAAAAAATTGGTGGGTTCGTCAAGCACGAGCAGATGCGGGTTGTTCCACATGGCACCAGCAATAACAACCTTGACCTTCTGACCTCCAGACAAGCTGCCGATCTCATTGTGGTTAGCAATCTCAGGGTCAAGCCCAAGGTCCTCGAAATGTTTGGAGATAACGGTGGGTTGAAGTTCCCGGTAACCAAGACCTTCACGAGACGCCTCGTGATCGTCGAATTCCTGCACCAGCTTAACGAAACCCCATTCAATGAGGGTCTCGCGAGACACCTGCGTGTTGTATTTTGGCAGCCAGGCATGCCATTTCCTGGGTTTTGTTAGTACCAGCTCCTGTTGCGGGCTTCGATGAAAAACTTACACTTCGTATTGGAAGGTCTTCTTGTACTTCTGTCGACCGACGAGAGCTTCGAGCTGGCGATCACCCTTTCCATCGTTCAGGTTGATTGGCTTTTCCATCTGCTCTCGGTCCTTGTCTGAGAGGATGCGAGTTTGCTTCAGGAAGACCTCTCGGTCGTCACCATTGGCGTACCTCCACTGCAAATATTGATTGGGTGTTTTCTCGAGATGCATTTCTACGTGTTCAAGGGCGTGCTGCTTGATGTAGCCAATTCGGAGATTGGGATGCTTCTCGACTTTTCCGGCAGTCGGGACCACTTCGCCAGTCAAGATTTTGATCAAGGTCGACTTTCCAGCACCATTGGGTCCAATCACGGCGACGCGGGAAGAAAGAGACAGTTGGCAAGAGACGTCGCTGAGGGATGGTTTGGGTGCCTTGGGGTACTGATAGGAAACTCCGGTCATCCGAATGATGGCTCGCGTTTGCGACTTAACACCGGTCAAGATGCCTGGTGGCGGGAACTTGAACTGCACGTTGGAGGCGGAAAGGGTGTAGTAAGCCTTGGCTTCAGGGCGAATCTTGACGAAGTCGGATAGGTTACCCTTGAAGTGGCCGAGTTTCTTTCCAGGCTCGTAGTGGTAGATGTCGGTCGTCACGTTATCCAAGAAACCCGAGTCGTGAGAAACTATCAAGCTGGTAATGTCGGTGTGGCTCTTCAGGTAGGTCTCCAGCCAAGCGATGTTAGCTACGTCCAAGTGATTGGTAGGTTCGTCGAGCAACAGAACATCGGCTTTCTGCAGCATGGCTCGAGCCAGGGCGAGCTTCATCTTCCACCCTCCTGATAGTGAGCCGACCTTCTGGGATTGTTTGCCTTCGGGACCAGCAGTAAAGCCAAACTCTGCCAAAACCTCGGAGATCCTCTCTCTTCCTTCGGAGGCAATTGTCGGGTCCTTGACCATGAAATCCAAGATGCTGATATCGGCATCTTCTCCCTGATTATGCTCAACATAGCAAGTTCGAAGAACATCTTGTGGTGGAAAGCCCTCCAGCTTACCACCAGCAATACTCTTCATGAGGGTGGACTTTCCAGCGCCATTGCGACCACAAAGACCGTACCGATGTCCCTTCAACAGACGAAGATTGGTATGAGACAGAAGAAGCATACCACCGTAGGCGAGTGAGAAGTCTGCGTTAACAATCTCAGTCTCACCATCGTCTTCTTTCTCCGGCACACCGTATTTGCGCTCGTCTTCGGTGATGTAGAATTGTTGAACACTGGAAGCAACAGCGTCATTGGTGCCCGGTTTGTGCATGAGCTCCTTCAGATAAGGTGCAACCCTGGCAGAAATACGGCTGACATGACGGTGGTTGGCGTTCTCAGCCACAATCTCGCAGACGTACGGTCGAGCTATCTTATAGAACTCCAGATCACCTGAAAGACCACCATTGTTCTTGATCTCTGAGTCAAGAACCTTGGCGACGTCATCTGCAGAAGTTCTCTCCACCACAGCCTTATCGTTGCTCATGGCCTTGTCCATGACATCCAAAGCCCTGGTAGCCAACTCGCGCACTTCTGGCAGTGGCGCTCGGTCAGCCACACTCTTAATACCTGGCTGGAGCTTTGGCAAGAACGTGCGCGCCTCGATGGGATCGTGGACAAGCTTAGTCAAGTTCTCGGTAATGACGACAGTTTGTCGCAAGACTTCTTGGGCAGTGGAGGGGTTGTTAAGGGTTCGCTCGAGAAAGGGAGTGAGGAGGGCGAGGACAGGAGAGGTGACTTCGGCGACGAAGGTAGTCTGCGATAGAGCGTGGATGGCCTTCTGCAGGGTCTGGGTCGAGGGATGGTGCATGGTGTCGACCAGGAGAGGGATCCTGGGAGCCACGTCGTCGTTAGATAGTAGAGTGGTAAGCGATTGCATCGTGACAAGGGCTTGCTTCTCGACTTCGGACTTAAGATCGTGCATGTTGCCTTCGACTATGGGAATCAAACTAGCAAGCTTCGCGCCCATAGCTTCACGGAGAATATCTTTGTCATCAGCCTGCTCTTTAGTGCAGCCAATTTCCATCTTGGCTTTGTCGGCCATCCTCTGCATCAGCTTCAAGGCACCGACGGTACCTTGCCACTTTCCGGTCCTCTTTGAAAGGTAAGCGACGAGCAAAGGTAGTAGACCGACTACCATGGCTTCGGAGCTCAAATAACCGAAGAGCGCATCGAGTCCATATTGCGCAGCATCGCGGACAACGGTGCCCTTGTCGGCCAAAGCATCTAGGGCACAGAAGACAATCCCGCCATCTTGGACCAGGAAAGATATTTCGCTCAGGGGTTGCCGGGATGGGAATTTTTCGAATAGAGCGCCGAGAAGATTTTGGGCGCTCTCGCGTCGCAAACCGCTCTTCTTGTCAGATGCGGCCTTTTTGACCTCGGCCAGTATGCCGTAATCATTCAGGCCACGAAAGCCGACGGTATTTAACAGGAGTTCGCAAAGTCCGTAGCAAGCATCGATTGAGGCGGCGGAGGTCTTAGCAGTAAATATGGTGTTGAGAATTGCCGAGATATCCTGTTGCGATGGCGGGGGAGGGGCATCTGCGGACTTGGCCACCATTATAGGCGGCGACACCTGGTGAGGCATCGTGGGTTTTCTTTCCGTGTAAGTGGATTGCGCAGAAGGAAAAAGACAGACAACCCAAACTTACTATGATGAAGAAAGAAGTGCAAAATGAGCGTCGCTGGTAGTTGATTAAGGGGCCAGCAGAACTGCCCAAAGTGCCCTGGATCGTGGGCGACGAAAACTTTGTTGATGAATCAGGCGTCTTACTTTTTTCCTTTCTTTTTTTTGGTCAGAGTAGGAAAAAAGCCAGGTAAGATTACAAACTGCGGCTGATCCCTGAGTGGAAGACCGAAAATGGCTTATCGGATCGATAAACCCCTCGAAAGTTTTTTTACCATAGTAACCCTTTATCAGTGACCCACTTTGTCGAGGATGCAATGGACCGTCCAGGTACGTACCTCTGTGCACGTTTTTGTACGGACATTTCTCAGTGGAGACGCAGACGACCAAATCTAGATCTAATCCTATTATCCCCGGCTTTATCCCGACAAAGACAGCGGGATGGATGACCAATACTATCACGGACCCCCACACAATTCGACCTATTTTATCCTCATGCAAAATGCAATGTGCTCACTGCTCAGTTCCTTTGTCCGCACCTACACACTGTCGACAAAGGATCTGCCAACTAGAGGATATCCAAAAGAAAGAGGTTGTGTCTCACTGATGAGTCGAATAGGAGCAGGGTTTACGGTACAGAGACAAATCCCAATAGGCATAGTCACACAGGTATGTTACGCACCCAATATTTGCTGGTCGGTGGACTGCCGTATAGGTAACAAAAGCCGTTCAAAGGTCGAATTGGGCCAAGTTGATATCCATGTAAGATCATCAGTCAGCATGTCTAGCCGACACACGAAATGTCTACAAGTACTTTCATGGTTGACCTAATAATGGTCAGCGAGAGTGTATCAATTGGAAGTGCAATTCAGATGCTATGCCAGCATCGGGAAGACTATCCGAATTCTACTCCACAGGTATAGAATTCCACGGGTAGGTTGGTAGCTCTTCGTCGTTCGCCATTAAATCTACATGCCATGAAAT